TAACATACAGATAAGTACATACCGTGAACTGTAGATTGTCCTCCTCATCAGCATCTCTCCTATTTCTAACATCACTATTTCTTCGACCATCACATACCTGCAAATTATGAAAGAAAGTAACTTAAGAAGACATTGAGCAAAACCATATCACAGTCTACCCACAGTTGTAAACAACAACAATATGCTATCAATTCTAGTATCAATGACCTGAACTGAATTGGCTATAAAGGCTAGGCGGTAGGATAGATCTCTCACACCCAATGCACGGAGCCCTCTAACACCTTCTTGGCCTGCGGTTGCATTTTTTTGCTGAGAACCATCCCTGCGGCACTCGGCTCTCTCTCCTGGAGAGGCCAGGGAAAGTATGTCTGGTATTACCACGACAGTACCAGTGAATATAACCCTACGACAAAATGCATCATATATATTTAATTTCAAAAGTATGTCCAACTTTGAGTAGTTGTGTACTATAAGATTCATCATTCATCTACATGTGTCACTGTGTGAGATAGGAAAATAATAAAACCTACTTACGTGTCTCCAGCCCTGGCCTGTTCAACAATATCATGACGTAAAATGACATCAAGTGACCTTGGAAGAGAACCAGCAGGTATCTCCTTAGAGGTCTCCTGCATTCTAACCCTCTGCCAGTCAGCAAATTTGCTGTCTTGTCTTAGCAAGGCCCATCTCACTGTGTTTGTGCATGTAGGATTGATGCAGAGAATAGGCTGAAAGGGAAGAGTCACGCATAAGGCATACAAGCAATTCATTCACCTGTTATATACATAATAATGACCATACAGACTACTAAATATCATAAGAATGAATAAGATAGTCAATATATCATAAGAATGGATAGGCTAGCCATATATCAATAAAAATATCATTGTCTGCTTTTAAAATGATAGTCCTACTGAGAATCAACAAATAAACCTCTGTGTATTTGAATTGTTGTTCCACATTCTTAATGACGGCAGCACAGTCCAAACACTTGAAAGTTCCCTGTAAAAGCTCAGGCCGAACTTCACTTGTCCGAGTAACAACTCCTGTCACAGCCACCAGTTTCCCTATCTCTGATGTAGTCAATTCTCTCAATCTGCAACTCGGTCAGGAAGAATTAGATAGAAGCTGTCAGTTTAGTTCAAATTAGTTTAATGAAATATATATATATATATATATATATATATATATATATATATATAAAGGTAACATTTTTCTAGAATAAGAGCAGCAGCTTGCACCTCTTAATTAAGGGAAGATTGTAAAAAGCAACATTGATATCCTTGTTAGGGTTATCGTCAGTTATGAAACTGGGATTCTGTTCCATCACGAATCTCTTGCAGGCACTTTTTAAGTATGGCTCAAACCTTGACATATTTAAAGAAAGAAGGCAAATTCATGAATCCATATAAGATATTTTGGAAACACCCAAAAAAATAATCTTGTGCTACCTGAGAAACTCATCAGATATAGCTCTCTGAAGAAGGTCATTAAAACGCATGACGTGGGAAAAGTCAATAAACATTGTGTTGGACTCATTAGGCCGCATGGCTTCAATCTCCGATTCATAGAACGGCTCTCTAGAGTTGGCATCCAAGCGGAAACTGGCAGCAAAAAAAGGAAGAAGAAACAGTAAATTATGGAAATGGGACCTGATTGAGGTTGTTCTGAGGGAGGAAAATGAAGGCTGAAAAACATAATTGTTGAAGTAACGAACCTTTTGAGAAACTCCAAGAAAACGTTCTCCACCTGCGCCGCGTTCTCGTCGACGAAGTACCCGCCGCCGCCATAACTATCCATTTCTGAAAACTCACAATGTATAAATTGCCTTGATCACTTTTCTCTGGTTTCCACTTTCTCTTTACTGATTCAGCTACACTTCGGGCAAAGCTTAATTCAGAGTGTTGGAGGCAAATCTGACTACTTGTCTGCAAGGCGGGGTTATGATGAAGCCGCCGCAATTGTTTCCCGCCAAATCGACTGATAAAAAGGCTTAAGCATTCCAGATTTACAGGCCCATTTTCGATCACAGAGCCCAGTAGCAATCATAAACGCCCATGCCCAGTCCACATTGAAATGCACTGTGTAGTTAGAGTTTTGCACTATTTGTGTTCTCCACTAGTGCTCATGTGCTAGGAGAGAATATAGAATAAAAAAATCAAATAATGTAATTTTTTTTCTTTTTTTCCAATAGTGTAATAAAATTTAGTTACTTTTTGTTTATAATGTAAATCTAGACGATGTGCTTGACCTTGTGAACAAAAAAACTAAATATTTATTACATCGTGAAAAGAATGTGAACGGCCTTCTATTATTTACTTCGTAATTTTTGTATCGATATCTCCTACTACATGTGCATCATTAACACCTTTACATTGAAGATGCCCTAATGCAAAATTATTGTTAATAATCTCAGCTTTTATGCATTTTACAAAACAAATCCTATCTTAAAATATATTACTTACATAAAGAATAAGAGATGATGATACACTCATATATACTTTAGTCACATTTTTTTAATGCGTAGTAATATTTTAGATAAAATTGTCTCTTATCTCTACCATTTAAATCTTTGAGATACTTGATTTTAACAATAATGACCTATACTCATAAATGATACTCCACAAAAAATGAATTGTGTGTTACTTTCTCCAAACTCGTTTGGTTTTTGTGAAACTTTAACTATTTAAGAAGTAAAGATTATATAGGTATACTTTTTCAATTTTGAATTATTGATATCCAAATTTAGATTTTTTTTGAACTTGTAAAAGGTTAGAAAATATTTATATAACATAAAATAATTTTTATAATCAATCATTGCTCCATGCTTTCCAAGTTATTAGATAGTTATTTTGTTCCAAATTAAATTTCAAATTGCGAATTTTAAGTTTAACTAATGATGAATTCTATAAATTTGCAAATCTTAATTAGAATATGATAAAAACATAATGTGCTAAATCAATAAATAAAATGAAACTGTGTTGAATTTGTGAATCATTTTAGGACAAGAGAGTATATATAAATATAATTACAAAATTTCTTTGATGTTAAAAGTAATTGTCATATGCTTCATATTAAAACGTAGTATATAATAATAGTATTATTAAAACTAATTTAACAACTTTGTTATAATGAAGAAACAAGTAATAAGTAAAAGAGCAATCTGGGGTTGTTTGACGGTCGTAATGGCAGCAGAAATTACCTAGCCATGGATAGACTGTTGAGGTGGAATGGAGAACTCCCGATACAAGTGTGGAAGGAAGAGCAAGGAGTGGTGTTGATTCGTCCCCCTCATGAACCACCGCCACAGAAGCATTGTGGATTTTAGGGGTGGGCACGGTCCGGTCCGGTCCAATATTTGGCCGAACCCGTACCCGTACCGTTACTATTGAAACGGTTCGGTACGGTTCGGTCTTAGACCCAAACCCGTTCGGTACGGTCCATTTTCAAACGGGACGGTACCATGCCATACCAATACCAAACAATGCCACTTTTTCCAGGTGTTTAAGAAAAAATTAAAGTTTAGCCATCCTCCAAAAATCTACACAATTTATCAATTTTCATATACGTAGTATCATACTACCTTCGTTCCAAATTGATTTGCAAAGTCAATCTTTTTTTGGCCAAACAATTTCTTTTTATTCACTTAATTAGAATTTCACTTTTTAATTACATTCTAATTTGGCCTTTCAAAAAAACTACTCCGTACTTCGTATATTTTAATTTGGATTTTGCAACTTTAGAGAGATTTTAATGTGGTTTCTAAATATGTAAATTTTAATTATTAAAAATTGTATTAATTATCAAGAACTTAACATTAACTTTGATAAAAAAATGTTGGCTTTGCAAATCAATTTGGGACGGATGAGGTAATTAATATATTTTAGATAAACTATAGTAGTACAAATTTAATAAACCATACTTCGGTCCGGTTCGGTTCGGTACCGGTTCTCATTTTATGAGAACCGGTCATGGCATTGTTTGGAACCGGTTCGGTCCGGTTCGGGGCAAAAATTTTGAGATCCGTTTCAAACCCCATTTATCGGTCCGGTACCATACCGGTCCGGTTCGGTATCATGCCGGTTCGGTATATTTGCCCACCCCTAGTGGATTTAGGGGTTGGAAGAAGATGTTTGAAGGATGGTTTCAACTGGTCCAGCACTCAAAGATTATTTACTTGTGCTATTTTCTGATTTCTATTTCTTATTTTGTTGTTATTTTGTTAAACACCAATGGTGGTAAGTGCATTGTTTGGTTTATTCTAGTTGCTAGGTTTTTGTTTGGAGGCAATCAGGTTGACTCAGCCGCTAATAATCAGGTTACCCCACCCCCACCCATAACTTCCCTACCCCGACCCCTACGAGTAGGTATGGGTGGGTATGAAGGGTTGTCGGGGAGTATGGGTAGAGTGTAAGATCGTGGTAAGGGTAGGGGTCAAGGGTGTGGAATTGGAGAACTGAGTGAAAAAATTGATGAACATATTTTCAGATTTGAAAATGGAAAACTAAAAAATAGAAACAGAAAATTGAAGATAGAAAAACTGAAAAATAAAAACAGAAAATTGGAGAACGAAAAACAGAAGTAGAAAACAGGAAAATATCTTTCTTAGTAAACAGGCCCTAAATTTTCCAGCTCACAGTCTCTTAGACCTCTTTAGAGTCAGTTGTTGGTCCCCGTTACCATTTGAGAACTTCTATAGGCTCATCTACTATAGATGCAGTCGGGGGGATCGGAAGGAAGTCATGACTGAAGAAACGATTAGCAACACAAGAAGGGGGTGAATTGTGTGTGTGTGGAACCGTGGCTGTTTTGTCAAGTTCTAGTGTGGGGCAAAGGTAGAAATCAAGTAAATAAGTACGAAGGATTTAACGAGGAAAAATCCTTTGGCTAAAAAAGGATTAAAAAACCTCAACCTGCCTCGGAGGAATTTGAAACAACTTCACTAAAGCCTTGAAATGGTTACAAGATAAACTCTCCTAGTCTACCCTTGAGCCACCCCAACTCTATTCTCTCTAGCAAGAGTTATGCTTCTCTACCTTGCGGGTAGAGAGTCTCACAGCTTACAACAAAGCTTCTCACTGCACAGATACCAACCCAGAAGAAGCTATCAACAGCTAATCCAAAAAATCCCATTACAGTAGAAGAAGATGGAAATAGAATTATATCTAGAACTCCTAATTGAGCAGTAGTTACAGACACTTGGTCTTCTAAGATGCTTCAATGGAAATCTTCTTTTTATTAACTTTCTTCTCTCGCTCAAGCACACCCTTTCAACTGCTCGTCCATCATTTATATTGTTGGGGGATTCGATCTATTCGAATGTTGGAGTTTCCTTGGCCATCCTTCATTCCTTTTTTAACCTTGCCTTTTTGAGGAGATTTTATTTCATTAACCACTTTTCTTTTTTAGGATTGGTCTTTTGAAATATTCCCAGAAGTTCCAACGATCCTTTCTAAAAATAACAACTCAGCAATACCACATTCAAAATAAATAAGCAAACAATTATTGAATAGGTAAATCATATATGGTAGGAAAATCAGCTATAGGCATGCATATTCAGAATAGATAATTACGTAATCACATGTGGAAACATGCATATTCAGAACAGTTAATTACGTAATCACACATGGAAAGCGTAATTAATAAGAATCATATAGGTACACCATGCATGTACTAATATCCTCCGCCCACAATATCAATATCCTAGAACATTGGGCAGTTTTGTCCATAGTTTCACCTGCATGATTAGTACATTTGGAAGACACGTGGCACAAAGGAGTCATCAACAAAACATCATACTCAACAAATCCCCATCCCCCATTTGTTGATGACAATCATTAGGTGCCAAAAAGAACCCTACAGATTCGTAGACGGAATATAATGGAAATTTTTAGAAGTAAAACATTGAGGCACCCGATGTTTCTCCCTTTTGTCATCACACAAAAGGAAACAAGAAGAATCAAAACATTTCCATAAAGTGGTAGTTAGTAAAGGCATCAGAAAAACACAATAGTGTAAAGTGACAACCCCCCCCCCCCCAAACAGTTAATGTAATGTTTAATCACTCCTCATCAGACGATGAGACAATCCTCCGATGCAACCTGTCACTGCCATCTTCAAATTTCCTAACCATCTCACTCTGAAAAGATTTGAAGTCAGAGTGCAAGGAACTCGTGGCTTTAGAGACTTGATCAACCCGACCTGATAAGGATGACAGGGAATCTGCCAAGGAGTCAAAACGACGAAGTAGACTGCACTCCATCAAATGAAGTTGATCTTTCACAAGCATAACAAAATGCATGGGGTCTGTGGAGGCAGCAGGAACTGGCTTGGGTTTAGAGGGCTTAGTTTTAGAGAATCAGAGGTAGTGGTGACAATGTCTTTGGGAGTTAGTTTGAACTTCTGGATGACAATACCTAAATTTAGTAACCCACGAACATCCACAAATTTGCTCACGGCCTGGGAGGGAAGATTGGCAAGAGAGACACCTTTTTTCTTTAAAATGAGAGTGAGAAGTGGCCCGTAAGGGGCCGTAAGGGGCCGTAAGGGATGTCGTTCTTCCTAGAAACGTTGTTAATAGTAAAGCTTAAGTGTGAAAGCATTAAGTCAGGGAGATTAATTGGGACCTTATTTGCCAAGAGGTACATACATGCTAACTCGATACGAGATGGAGATTGATGTCCTTCAAGTTTAGGGACCAAATTGGAATGTACGAAATAAAACAACATGGTATGGATAGGGGACAACCTGCCAACATGTAGTGATAGACCAGAGATGGTGGGGTCAAAGTACTTGAGGGCATCAGTTTGAGAGACATGGGACACGGGCCATTCCTTTTTGTCACAGAGACAATCACCATAACAAGGAACATCAGTAAGTGGTCCTGAGTCTTCAGTATCCAATAAGATTTTTGTTCCACAGACTTGAATAGACAATACATTATTTTTTATAATCAGATTTGCTAAAAACTCAGACACACAGTCGGGGTAAACAGTACATAAGTTCTTAGAATCAAACACGTTATTCCATTTTTTGAAAGAGATGAGGTCAATGAAATCGGAGGTTTTGGGAGATGGATCGTCAATGAAAATTGGGAGTACCTTCACTATTCCGCGTTTGAGATGGTCCTCCTTGAGTTTTGCAGCATCCTCGTCGGCCACCCTTCCCATCTCGGCATATTTCTTGTCGCGTTCTTTGTCAGAGATGATGCCCAGAGCAATGGCTTTCCGGCGAGTGAACTTCTGAGGCAGGACCTTCCATTTTCTGACGAGGAGATCAGACTTGGCCGACAATGAGGGATCTTCATACGATGATGGAGAAGATGGTTGGCTGGCTTCGAGTTCCCCCTGAGAAGATGCAGGGGATGGAGGCAATGAGTCCGATTTCTCATTCGTCGAGGAAACTGACTCGTTAAGGTTCGAACTCATGGTTGGGGAAATTGGTTCGGGGTTTATTTGCTCAGGCGAGGAGGGGAGATGTTTTTCAGTTCTCTTTTATTCCGACAGGAGCGTCACAGTGCAGTAGGGGGCCCTCCTCTGGTTTTAACCATGGCGAGAAGATGAGGAGGGTAGTTACCAAGGAGATAAGTGAAGGTTTTTTGAAAACTGAATCATTGAGGTGCCTTTTGGGAAGTGGATCGGTGTGGATATGCGCCGATTTAGAGGATATCAACATTTAATAGCCACTTATTACATTGAACTCAGTTCGAAAGAAGGCAATTAGACCGGAAATAAACGGTAATGATTTTTAGAAGATTTGAAGCAATAAAATACAAAAGAATCAATTAGGAAGTAATTAAACCGAGCCCAAGTCTAATTAATTCAAACCTTTCTCTTTCCAGGGGCTTTGTAAAAATATCAGCAATTTGTTTTTCGATGCTTCAATATTCTAGTCGGACCAACCCTTTTCCCACACAATCTTTAAGAAAATAATGACAGATGTGAATATGTTTGTCCGCGAGTGCATTATTGGGTCTTTTGAGATATTGATTGCACTAGTGTTGTCGCATAAAATGGGTGTGCAATTTAAGGATATTCCAAAATCACTTACTTGTTGCATGGTCCATAGAGATTGAGGCCAACATGATGCTGCTGATACGTACTCAGCCTCCGTCATTGAAACAACAACTGAATTATTATTATTATTATTATTATTATTATTATTATTATTATTATTATTATTATTATTATTATTATTATTATTATTATTATTATTATTATTATTATTATTATTATTATTATTATTATTATCATTATCATCATTATTGTTATTATTAATATTATTATCCATCATCATCATTATCATTAATATTATTATTATTGTTGTTGTTGTTGTTGTTGTTGTTGTTGTTGTTGTTGTTGTTGTTATTATTATCATTATTATTCTTATTATTGTTATCATCATCATCATCATCATTATCATTATTATTATTGTTGTTGTTATGCACGGAAAGAGGCGGAAGATATAATTTCCCGATCTCCACACCCCAACACCCGCCCCACTTCTCCCCCACGAGCCCCCGTTCCCATTGCCATCCTTAAGAGCATCTAAGCTCTTCTAATTGAAAAAGATAAATGATTTGTTGTTTAACCATTAAAATTAATGATGTTGGAAGGGCATGACATGATAGTCTTGGTTGCTTAGAGTGAGCTTTGAACTATTAGTCATTAGTCAAATCCAGATTACGCACCATCTCGAAAAGCAATGTTGCATGTGTGAGATAGGGAGGTGGGTTAATGAATCTGACTTACACTTTTAATGTTTTCTTTTTCAATAGTCTTGTGTTCATATCACATATGAAGTAAATATAGATGGATTTTTTGTTGTTGGTAAGCTCTTAACTATTAGTCATTAGTCAAATCCGTTCTATGCGCTGTATCTAAAAAAGTGATTTTGCATGTCTGACATGTGGAGGTGAGTTAATGAATCTCACCTAACACTTGAGAATTGTCTTTTGCAATAACATTATGTTCTTGTCACCAAACAAGTGAAAATGAAGGGCTTTTCGAGTTAATGATACAAACAACCATGATTAACTCAAGTGGTTCTTTAATAAATGTTGAGTCTCATATCAACATATTTGAGTAATGTTTTCTAAAATTTAATTTGACATCACTTCTTTTAAAAAATTTGAGAGTCAAATTAAAATTATTAGGCCTGGGACCGGTTCGGTTCCTAGGCAAACTATGTGGAACCGTTTGAAAATATGAAAATTTACTAACGGTTCGATTCTTATATATTATTTTATAGAACCGATAAAGAACCGAACCGTTCTTAACGGTTCGGTTCTTGTCATTTAACGGTTCCTAGTCTTTGAAAAAAATCATACGAATCACGACTGAATTTTTACTAAAAAGACATTCAACGTTTGAAATTACAATACAAATATGTTTAACCGGTTAAAGAGAATAATAATTTTAAATAGTTTGGACCTTCCGAGTTCTGACCCGCTGGAGTTTGGACATAATGAGAGGCCTAAGAAGCCTAAGAGAACCGGTTGAAGTGAATAATAGTTTTAAATAGTTAAATAACTAAACTAAAATAGTGAGTGTGATATAAAAATAAATAAGTAAATATACATTAAAATTTATATACTCATAAGAAATATATTTAATTTTAATTATTACATATAACGGTTCCTTAACGGTTCCTGGTACATATTTTTTTCAGGAACCGAGAACCGAACCGTTAATAAAAATAGGAACTGAACCGTTAACAAATAACTAATAAATGTTGGAACCGAACTGAACCAGGTCATAACGGTTCGGTCCGGTTCGGTTCTCCGGTTTTTGGTTCCAAAGTCCCTGCCCTAAAAATTATACTAATCTGTGGAAATAAATTCACATTTGACAAAATTTAAATCTTGGTTAAGATTTAATTGTTCAATTTTCACTTAGAAAAGAGTTGGGAAATATTAAAATTCTAAATACGAGAAACTAATAGTTCACATCCATACTCAACGGGGGAAAATATTTGCCAACACAAAATTAAATAATATAGTTGAAACTCAATTCTTTCGGACAAAACTAAATGATTTTTAAATGCCCTTTATACTATAATGTTATAGCACTAGCCCATTGACAAAATAAAGTCAATTGGTATTTTAGAAGTTTTCAAAAAACCAATATAGGTTTAGTCAGTATGGACAAAGTGGCAAAGAAGATTATAGTCTTGAAAATGCTTCAAGAAAAGGTTCAAAAACTTAATTAGATGGTTCAATTCACGAGTTTTCAAACTAAACAATAGACCCACCACCATTACTTTCATTATTATTATTATTATTATTATTATTATTATTATTATTATTATTATTATTATTATTATTATTATTATTATTATTATTATTATTATTATTATTATTATTATTATTATTATTATTATTATTATTATTATTATTATTATTATTATTATTATTATTATTATTATTATTATTATTATTATTATTATTATTATTATTATTATTATTATTATTATTATTATTATTATTATTATTATTATTATTATTATTGTTATTATTATTATTATTATTATTATTATTTAGATTATTATTACTATTATGACTATTAATAGTGTTCATGCTGTTGTTACTATTACTATCATTATTAATATAATAATAATTATAATAATAATAGTAATAATGATGATGGTGATGGTGATGACGACGATGATAACAATAATACTTATAATAAATATAATAGTAATTATTGTTGTTGTTGTTATTGTTATTAATGTTATTATTGTTATAGTTATTATTACTATCATCATCATCATCATCATCATCATCATCATCATCATCATTATTTTTATGCAGGGAACGAAGCGGATGATCGATAATGTTCCGCACCCCCAACACCCGCCCCACTTCTTCCCCACGGGCCCCCGTTCCCATTGCCATCCTCAGGGGCGGACCCAGGAAATTGATATTGGGGGGCGGTATTTTAAATAAAAAAATCTAGGCGCTTATTATTATAAGTTATAACCTTAATATAATACGGAGTAGTAATTAAATGAAGCATTAAAATAGAAGAAGAGACAAATATATTATTACAAAGTAGTTAAAGTTAGTACCTTAGAATTGTTATTATAAGTGATAACCTTAATATAATAGTAATTAAATGAAGTCTTAAAAATAGAAGAAGAGACAAATATATTATTATTATTATTATTATTATTATTATTCTTTCAAAAATTATTATTATTATTATTATTATTACTATTACTACTACTACTACTACTACTATTATTATTATTATTATTATTATTATTATTAATCATTAGTCAAATCTAGGCTAAACACTATCTCGAAAATCAATATAATGTTGCGTGTGTGAGATGCAGAGGTGGGTTAATGAATCTTACTTAACACTTTTGATTTTTCTTTTTCAATAGTCCTATGTTCATATCACATAGGAAGTGAAGATTGATTGATTTTTTGTTGTTGGTAAGCTCTTAACTATTAGTCATTAGTCAAATCCGTTTTATGCGCTATATCTAAAAAAGTGATGTTGTATGTCTGACATGTGGAGTTGAGTTCGTTGGATCGATTCACCCTTTCGACAAACTTCCCAGTAGGTCACTCATCCTTGAGTTTTCTTATCCCGGGCTCGCTTAACTGCGAAGTTCTGTGGTTAAATAGCAGTCATATCTTTTTTAAAACCAATTGGTTATAAGGAAGTAGACACCCTCTATTTAACTCATCACTTTGTAGTCCTCAAGTCAAGGTAGATTCATGTGGGGTACCCCCACAGTTCACTACAACAATGCAGAGCCCCACTACTGAGCGGTTGATGGACATGAAAAGCTGCACCACATTGTGGTGCCAACAGGTTAGACGGTTAAGCCCTGAATCAAAGTGTGGATTCATATAGTTATTTGAGTTGTATTTTTTATGTTAACTAGTATTTCACCCGTGCGTTGCACGGGATGTAATAATCACATATTGTTAATGTTATTTATAAAGCATTTACAAATTATATTATTATTTATCACACGAATAGAGAAATTGGAAATAAAAATAACAAATATTAGAAGTTTTATGAGCACACAAATTACAAATTATTGAATACGAAGTACTTTGTAGACAACGTTTATTGTAGCTTTTATCAAATATCTTTCTCCATTGTATATCATGAACTTTAAGTCAAACAGGCTTGTCACACTCAAAACCGCAACATACAATTGTGCATACGTTAAAATAGGATGTGAGAAAACCCTAACCGTTTCCCACGAATTCCCTTGACTCTTGTCTTTTCTGAAAGAACTTAACATTTTCCACCTTTTAAAACTATACTACTTTGCATATAACTTCGAACATAAAGTTTATATGCTAATAATGTACTATACAATCTTTTTAAAACTATTTAACAATAACCTTCCCATTTGGTATTGAGTCAATCAGCCGAATAAGAACTTCTAATAAGCTAATAAGCCAATGAATTGATTAAGTTGACTAAGAACATCAGAAAGACTATTTGTGGGCGAATAAGAATCCGCACATGTTATTATTTGTGATGCACATACAGAAGCTCTAGTCATCTATTATCAA